ATCATGCTGAACCATCCTCCAATTTCATCTGAGAAATCCAGATTGTTTTTAAAATACATGATAATTTCATTAAAGTCTCACTGATTCGTTTTTAAGTGTAGGTAAATAGCAGTAAAGCAAAGTAAAGGCATTATGACAGAAGGTAACCTAGTAGGCCTTTAACTTTACATTCAGTCTGCAGGCAGGTGCTCGGTGTTTTACTTACAACCACCAATAGATGAAATGGTGATGCTCCATTTCCTGTATCTCTGCACCAAAAAACCCACAGCCATTCTCTCCCTGACTTCCTTATCCTCACACAGCACATCTCTCGGCTGTAGTCGGTAACATGGGCTAGACTTCAGAATGGCTTGTCCAGTGTCCAAATATGTAATGCTATAGTTATAGTGTATATAATATTACTAATGTTAAATGGATCATTACATGTGTATGTAATCTGCACCAATTCCCAGCCCTGTGTATAAACCCTCTGCTTGGGGAGGTGACTTTGCATGTGTTACACAAACAAACATCTCTAGGTCTGAGGTCAGCATAACAGACTGCAGAGAGTTTAGAGCCCAACACAAAGCAGCTTGTGTGACATGCTTTGAAACCTCTTAGCCCCACCCAGTATGTGGCATATGACATGCCACTATATTTAGCATAGCCCCATTGTTGTGACAGTTCAGCGTTGAAACACTGTATACACTGGTTTGCTCTCGCATACAATTCTGCACATCCACGGCATTTTCTTTCAAAACTGCAATGCATGAACTTTTAATGCAGGTTAGCTCAAATAACAGGGCTCCACTGGTGTGGCAGTTGTTGTGTAACCAGAAAAACAGACAGACTGTGTGCCAAGAGAAACTACATTTTTCCAGTTCCACCGCCATGTGAAGAGTAACTACAGTCTGCTGTGACTTATAAGTAGGCATCGCATGCTTACATCACTGAATGAGGACCTGCAGTGGAGGCAGCTGGGCTATCAGAAGATGTTGCCACTTGACACACTAAATTCTTTTCTACTTATGTTGTGATGTCAGTGATACTTGTAAAATACAGATAGGTCAAGAAGGCTGGCTTCTTTGGGTTTATATATAAAAACTGGAAAAGGACAGTAAACCATTATGCAACCTGTTAAGCTGAATGCCTAATGCATAATCAGTAGGGTCACACACAATAAGAAAATTTAGCTATCACTGTGTCCTGACACCCAAGATCATCTCATTTCAGCAACACAAAAGACAACAGGTCAAACATATGCTCCATAAACCTTATGAAAGTAACTTTATACTGAACTTCCCTTAAAATTACAGATGACTGTCTCAGTTCAAAAGGTGACATACTCACATCACAGACCATGCACTTGATACAATAACACTAGTACACTATACGCAAATGTTGCTAGGATTATTAATGAGCTTATAATGGTAATTTCCAGAAAAGCTTTGCTGAGTAGATGGCAAGAAATGAAAAGGGTGCTTTAAAACCTAGCCATTTATGTACGTGCCAATTGGTTTACGACTCCTGATGGACCCCCGCCCCAGGGACGATGCAGTTATTAAGGTCTTCCTTGTAGCACTGGGCACTGAAATACCAGTGGTTCTTTAAGTTGCCTGCGTTAATGACCAGCAAATAGTTATCCTTTGAAATCTGAGAAATTGATCTCATGATAACAATTTCACAGTCACATTTATAAAAAAAATAATAAAAAAAAAATGGACTGACTTATTACTTTATTAAAATGTCAAGTCTTCTCACCTTTCTTTGGCAGACCTCTGCCCTTGCCCAATCGGGACTTTCTGTCCAGCAGCTTGCTCTTGGGGCTGGTGGGTGCCGCAGAGGTCCCCTTAACCACATCCCCATTATCGCTGAGAGAGTCCCCCCTCCCAGAGTCCCTGGAGGAGTTTTTTCTCAGCCTCCGCTTGGCCTTCGCCTTGAGGCGTGCTTCATGGATGCTGTTGCTAGACGTGGTCAACCAGTTGCCATTGATCTCATTGTTGATGTTTTTGTTGGAGATGCCAATCTTCCAGTGTCTTCGTCTCCAGATAAAAAGGAGTCACTCAGGTCCTCAGCCTCTGTTGGATTACAAGGATAAATGGGGAGTTAATGCTGAAGTTGGCTGACTATAAGAAAGTAGCTTTTATATGCAGAACAGATCAGGGAGAGCTGATACATATATTTTTCTTTGTGTAAATAAAATAAACTCAGGAAAAGACGCTTTATTTAAGACTGAATTACACTATAATTGATAAAAAAATGTTTTATCTGCAGTCCCCCACCAAATGGAGGGCAAGCAGCAGAATAAAGTCAATGCCAAATTCACATCAGTAAACCTGCAGGCAGTGCAAGAAAAGTACGCAATCAACCACTTCCGCATGAAAAAGTCCCAGTGCCCTGCATCAGACACAGCTGATGAAGCATTTAAATCGTTGACTGTCTCACACCTACCGACGGGGTTTGCGTTCAGCCAGGCCTCGCAGTCAGTTGCCATGTTCTAAAATAGAAAAGAGATTGTGCAGCAGAACAGCGTGCGAATTTCAAATGATACCTGCAATGTTGAAGAGGAAACACAAGTGTTATATGCAGACACGCGTTAATAACATGCCCAGACATGCTGCTAACACAACAGCCTCCCCTCCCCCTATTCATTCAAAGTCGCACTGTTGATAAACAACGGCTAACGCTACGTTAGCTTCAATGTTCACTGTCAACTGAGAGCTGCGTCAAAAGGACCAAACTACAGAGTGCCTAACTGCACGTAGGGGACGATTACAACTGTCACACATAGTCTAACTGTGCAGTTTAAGTTACAGTTTGCAAAGCCCTCCTTACATCGCTGACTCGCCATGTAACGTTATCTGTTGTTGAAGCCCAAGAGACAAGAAAATCTCAAATCTAACTGCACAGAGTCCGCTAGCTTGATGTACATCTCTTAGCTAACATCTACAAAATTGTTTAACCCTTCCCAACACTGACATGTAAACTATTCACGTCTATCTCCCTTGTTCTGTCGATTAAATAACTCACAATAAAATCACTGACCGTCTGTTGTGTCCAAGCTTCAAACTCCGACAGACACAAACGTTGTTGTTTTTGTTTTATATCTACCCAGCAACGCAGACGCGTCGATCCGTTTTTCCTTCCCCTGATTGGCTGGAGGTTTGTGGGGGTTTAAAGGAAAGAACCAATGAAAATACAACACGGGATTCTCTGTTCTCGCACGTTCTGTGAGTGAGTCTACCAAAGTGCTGCCCCCATCTGTGAGACTGCAGAACAGCTCTTTATAGTTTCCCTGTTTATCTCATCAGCTACAACACTTCATTAATGATTATGATATTGATGACTGTTTTTATTTTTTTAAATATGAGGTATTTCTTCATTAAATATGTACTGATTTGGATATCACACATTTTCCAGCACATTGGTAAGAGTCAGGCAGATGGTGTTATTGTGATAATTTACCAAATGGCCAGACATTTATTTTGTTTTAAAAAACATTATTCATGGATTTTTTATAAATATACCAGTTGTATGTGTGAAGGAGCCTTATTCCCCTACATATTTACAGATAAAATACCATATAAAATGAGAATGATTAAAGATATTTGAAAAGATGTCTTGCTGTAAGGCCTAAGAAACCGTGTGTAACATTATAATGATCTAACTGCCTTCAAGAGCGAGGAAAATTACTTGGCATACAGGAAACATGTCAGAAAACAGCTGTTAAAGATTAGCTAACGCAATAG